TCATTTATATTTTTTGAATTGTGTTAATTTGGGCATAAATTAATTTAGCTAATAACTTTTTTATTTTTTGTATTAAAAGACAATAATTTCTTTAGATGTTTTTCGCTCAATTATTAAATATAAATACATAAGGAATTATTATAGTGCATACGCTTTACGCATCTTCTTCGCCCCTTATTCCCTCAGTCCTTACCATCTCTGTTTTTCACTCTTTCTTTTGAACAATCTTCCTCTTTTCCCCTTCAACAACATCTTCCCTGTCTGCTGCCACCAAACCTTTGTATTCTATTTTCAAATCTCCTATTCCTTCCTATGTCTCCACCACTCTCCTCCTAGTATATCTTTAGAAACTAAGTTTATAAAATGTCTTTTGGAAAAAGAAAAGTTTAAAGTGGTAGCGCATGTAACATACCACGCGTATATTATATTGCAGTGATATATGTAATATATCTTTAATGGTACTGTTATTACAAATCTTTCGCGGGCTGTATGTGTATGTCTGTATGCATGTCTGCACTTTGTATACTATGTACTTTGTATGTCTGTATGTATGTCTGCACTTTGTATACTGTATCATTATTACGTTTGTCGAATAAATTATCTTTAAACACTTATACACGGTGATATTCTTTTGCCCTATGCGAATATCCCAGAGTACTAGTGAGTTCTGTCTCTCTCTTACTCTCCTCCGTCCTAACTGCATCCTTCACCTACTCCTAATATAGTTTGAAATTCAATTCTCGAAAGTGCACATCTGGGAGGCTGTATCTCCCAGAGATGTAAATTTTGAAAGATCTCTTAATTCAGAAAGTCAGAATGGTCCATAGAAGAGGCTGGTACAGGTTAGATTGCGATAGGGCCACTTTCAAAAAATTGCTTTACTTTCTGGTACTCGCACACTTTTTTGTGAATTTTGAAATTATCAAGCATTCATAGTAAAGAATTTCCATTAGTTCGAATTTTCGCCGATAAGAGGGCAGCACCTCCTGGGCATGATATGTGGCGCCATCTCTGAGAGAAAGAGTAAACTTTCTCCGATAAAACAATTCCGAATTCAATTTAAAAATCACATCGTCGAAATTTCAAGGAGTAAATCTTATTAGAGAATTTGCATTAGTTCGAATTTTCGTCGATAAGAGGGCAGCACCTCCTGGGCATGATATGTGGCGCCATCTCTGAGAGAAAGAGTAAACTTTCTCCGATAAAACAATTCCGAATTCAATTTAAAAATCACATCGTCGAAATTTCAAGGAGTAAATCTTATTAGAGAATTTGCATTAGTTCGAATTTTCGTCGATAAGAGGGCAGCACCTCCTGGGCATGATATGTGGCGCCATCTCTGAGAGAAAGAGTAAACTTTCTCCGATAAAACAATTCCGAATTCAATTTAAAAATCACATCGTCGAAATTTCAAGGAGTAAATCTTATTAGAGAATTTGCATTAGTTCGAATTTTCGTCGATAAGAGGGCAGCACCTCCTGGGCATGATATGTGGCGCCATCTCTGAGAGAAAGAGTAAACTTTCTCCGATAAAACAATTCCGAATTCAATTTAAAAATCACATCGTCGAAATTTCAAGGAGTAAATCTTATTAGAGAATTTGCATTAGTTCGAATTTTCGTCGATAAGAGGGCAGCACCTCCTGGGCATGATATGTGGCGCCATCTCTGAGAGAAAGAGTGAACTTTCTCC